CATCCCACTAACACAGCAGACTGATCTCATCTGAGCTAGAGGATACAGCCGCTTCCTAAAGCTTTTTCTTAAACGACATGATTCTTTATCTGTTTTATACAATGCTTTTGAAGAATTGGATTTTAAACGGTGTGAGAACTTGAGTAGTACCAGGGCAGGTTGCCATGGCAAATGGAATACGGTCTATTTTTGCTGTTAGTCCTCTGTACCATATGAGCTCACAAGCGGGACCCTCGGAAAACTGCAAATTCTGGCTGCTGGATTTGGGTATGTAACGTTACTATATAGGACCTATATAGAACCAGTCCTTTAAGTGTTCCAGTCATTTTAACAGTATAGAACAGGCTCCAACTATGTAATGGATTGTTATTGTTGTGATCATTGGTATAATCAAGTAAAACATTGAATTATTGTTTACATTATTTTGCAGCATACCTTTAGGGCATTACAATGTTGTTTTCTGTTGATTTTTCACAGCCTACTTTAGAGGACATATCAAGAATAACGTCTTTATTGTATGTGAGAGTCTGGGGGATAAGTACAGTAGCCTATTATATTGATTGAATGGCTGTTATGAAGTGGATTATATGGGTGCATTAAAATGATTGAAATACCGTATTAAAGCTGGCAAGCTTTGGACTAGATTAAGCACATCTGAGTCACATGTGGGACAGACAGACCGAGAGACAGGCAGGAAGGCATGCAGGCTGGCTGGCTGACTGATTGACTGAATCAGCCATGTTACTACCTGTTGACAGAACAAACAGTCTATACAGCTGTAGTAACTCTGTTTGTTCGTGGTGCATCACGCCCACCCCATTGCTGTCCAAACCCTATCCTCCTCCTCACCCATTCACCAGGATCCAAGAGTTAGCCAGCTTACTTTCCTGAATCATCTTAAACAACTCCATAGTTCCTATAGCTCATAGAAAAAGATTGACTTGAAATAGAAATGGTATGAATAACATGACATGATCAATAACCCATAGCTTTCTTAATACACCTGATAATCAACAGTTACATCTGAATGTGTATTCATGTTAGCTGGCTGATTGATCCTTGCTTTGTGATGATCCACCCCTCTAGTGATATTCTTGCTATTGTAGACATGTGGAGAACAGACAGACACACACAGTATCACCCACTGCATATCACAGTCCATCATACAGCTGGCTTGGCCTGTGTGCCCTCCTGTCCTGTGTCTGATGAGGCTTGGTAGGTTTCCCAGGAAGTGGGCCAGACATCTTAATCCAATTGTGACAGAGGACAGTGAGCCACCACTCTCTGATTGGCTTGGACTGTGCCACACGTCTCCTCACTAGGGCTGGCACAATTACCGTATAACTGTGTAATTGACGTTATGGATGAAGACCGTCGTGAGAATAAAATAACCGTCTTAACCGTTTCAAATAAATTATGAGTTTTTTGGTTTTGTTGAACGAACGCGGGAGAGAGACGGGACGGCCGGGCATTCTTGTGGTTGAGTCCGTTTCCACAGTAACATGGACAATTAACAACATGATGAAACTTTGCTGCTCCTTGCTGATGGTCAAGCAAGGTGTTGTAGCTAACATTGAAATAGAATGAATAAAACATGCTTGGAACCTCTAACCCTGGCAATTTGACTGGCAAACTCATGGGTACACTCGCAATGGCTGCCTGGTATTGTGATGCAATAATTTCCACGGTAATGTAGAATATTCATTCATGATGTGGCTCATGCAAAGGAATGTCTTTTTTGTAATGTCAGTTGAGTTGAATCAACAAATCACAGCACATATTGATGGGACACTTTCTGCTTTTACTTCCTGCTTTTACTTCCTGCTTTGCTCCTATAAGTACACTTGCAATGGCCGCTAGTCCAGCCATTATGCCATCATTGACTTGATTGGGGACGCCTGTTCTATTTATATGGCAGCACATGCAGCCAGGAGCGGAGGAGAGGAGAAAAAAATGTGTCTTCAACAATAAATTATAATATATATATATTATTATTAATTTTTTGCTATTCTAACGGTTATTAAGGTGACCGCGGTCATTTGGCTGGCCAATAACCGTCATCCAAAATTACTTGACAGCCCTACTCCTCACCCCATTCTGTCTGATACTATACTGCTGATAGTGACTTGAAATGTACTAGACAGACAGGGTACCATATTTACATGTGTTTGAACGTACTGTATGTGTCATGCCAGAACCTATTGTGTCTCCTAATCCCTAGGCTTTAGCTCAGTGGCCTCACATAGTCACAGCAGACCCTGGTTTGAACCTGTTATTGTGTCTCTGTTTCCATGAATGTTTGGGACAGATGGCGGTTGTGAGCTCAGTTGCTGAAAGACCCCCTGGCGGGAGAACGGAGTGAGGTCACTGCATTGCTTACACTCCTACCCACTACCCAGAGACAGGGGATGCATCCCAAATGGCACTCTCTCCCCTACATAGTGCACTACCTGGTCAAAATAAGTGAACTAAATAGGGAAAAGGGTGCCATTTGGGACACAGAGACAGCGTCTCACAGGGGGCATGTCTGTGATGTCTGGGGTTATTTTACACCCCGCTGAAGAAACAATGGACAGGAATGTGTCAAGGCTGGTGACCCTCCTTCTGTTAAATCACTGTCTACGAGGACACCCAGACCTCTCAGCCCAATATTATATCTCGCCCTAGGAGGCACCTTTCAGGGCAGCACTTCAAAGTTAGCTGGTGATGCTGCTTTGTAGCTGTGACAGGACTGTAAGATCAGATAAGATAAACATTATTGTCCCCGAGGGGAAATTGGTCTTGGACATCTTTGTCTTACCTAGCTCTACCACACAAAAATACATGAATACAGATACAATATTAAAAGAGAAGTTATGTTGTGTTCTTCACTGAAAATACTTTCGGTGTCCCTGTCAGCCAGGCTAGTTCTTCCTCCTTCATACAGTATATGAGACCCTGTAGCCCACTTGCTGAGGTGATTGATGGGCTGCCCCGCAGCCTGTGAGAGCTCTTCAGACCTACTCTCAAATAGCGCTGTTACACCAGGGGTCAGGCCCCTTGCATGTCTGTGTCCTGTTTGCTCAATATGTGGAGTGGATACGCACTCATGTGTATAAGAGGCACCAGACTGAGTTTGCCCCCCTGCCACTAACCAACTGGCAGATAGGGCTTTTCTAATGGAAAAGCAGTTGATGTAAGTGTAAATGTGAGAGATATACTATAACTGTATACTTTTAGCCAGCTAGATGAGACAATATGGACACTGAGTAAGTTGTTTGTGTGTCTCCTAAAATGTAATCACACTGATACTGACAGCTCTGTACAGTATTAGAGGGAAGGAAAGTTTTACTGGGCACCCTGGCATGAGTGTACTTCTCTCAGGTAAGTAGAGGGAAGGTGGGCCTGTGAGGAGGGACACACTGAGCTCTGTCTCTGAGGTCTAGTAGAAGGTTTGTTCAGGTGGAGATTTGATGCCCGTTTCCATCCTCCTCTCAGAATGGAGGATGGGGCTGGGTAAGGCTGGGCTGGCCTGGAGGTGTGTGTGTACCTAGTGGGCCTGGCATAGTCTTCTGTACACATCCATTACTGTAACACATGGTCCTGCTAGCCTTCTAGTGCTCCACTTGGTAGAAAAGACCCTGAAGCATGACTGAAACAGCCCGTAATGGCACCTTCCTTTATGTCAATAATATTGTAACACATTTGATAAATGGACTCAGGTTTTCATGGTATGCTGCTACAAGTTATTTATAAGTCTCTTGAAAGCCCTTGGTTCTCCCCTGCAGACTCAGAAAACAATTTTAGAAAAGTACAGGGCTGTGTGAACACCTTATCTTCTCAGGCTCTCTGGCTCGGACTCCCACAGCTGGGTTAGACTGAGAGTAGAGCGAACACATGCTTTATATCAGCAGCATATTACACTACAATATATAGGTCTCCTGAAGCCATCTTAACTAAGGACTGTGATCCCCCTCAACCCCACCATCCACCCCACCCTGTGACACACATGTTTGCTGTCACGAAGGACCAACATGTGAAGTGTGTATCAGAATATACTGTAACTACATACAATAACACAATGCTATTCTTCACAGAGTGAAAAGAGGAGAGGGAGAGTTACTTCTTTTTCAATTTCACACCTTTTTAATTTCAAATCAATTTAATGTATTTATTATCAAATGCACAGTGTCCATAAACAGGTCTTGAGGTATTGAGACATTAGTTGGAGTTGTCGGAGCAGTCAGAGAAGCGCAGGGCATCCCCTTTTGCTCTTGTCACCAGCAGCCTCCTGCTTGCCGTACATTGTCTTCTCCATGGTCCTCTTCTTCCCCATGCAGCTAAGGAAGGCACAAGCCGAAACATATGTCAGTGTAGTCTATTAACACGTGTTGCTTTGAGATGAAGAACATTTTAACCTTCAATTGCAACTTCTATGGAAGTGAGTTCTGGCCCTTATCCATAGTTGCCATGATCTATTTTTGGTTCCAAGCACCCTTTCATTTATTTACTCAAGAGGCTAAGAGTTGAGACTGACCTGAGGAAGTCCTCCATGGCGTCGAGGCGCTGCTCCATGCCCTCCATCCTCAGCAGAACCTTCTCCTGAAGCTCCATCATCAGCAAAGCCTTGTTGCTGTCCCCTTTAGCCTGGCACTGGAGCAGTCCTCCTTTCCCTTGGCCTTGCCTTGTCCACTTCTTCTTGCTGAGCCACATGTGAACCATACAGACGACCAGAAAGGCCACCCCGAGGGCCAGGATGGTGCAACCCACGTCAGGCATGGTTATGGAGTCCAGGATGGAGGTATTGTACTCCTCCTCCGTTCTCTCCACCACCTTTCTCAGCTCGTCTGGTGTGATATCCATGCCAACTCTGGACCAGGTTGGGAGTTTGCAGTGCTGCACGCCAATGTCAGTGCACACCATCTTGAGAAGAAGTAAGGCTGGATTTGGGCTTATTTGCTCCTGGGCTCTTTGTAGGTCTAGAGAAGTGTCAGTCTGATCCAACCGTGTCTGAGGAACGAATGAAGGCTTGGGCCAGTGCAGCCTCAGATCAACCTCAGCAGTCCCATTGTGACATCATTTGAGTGCCATTTGACATCATTAGACTGTCATGATGTCACAATCCAACCCTGTCTGAGTATAAGAGCCTGAGCCAATGAAATGCAGCCCCAGACCATCTCAGCAGACATATTGTGACATCATAAAGCAGTCAAATGACACCTTGAATCATTTTGTGAAAATGGCACCCTTGCATGCACATCAAAACGATTGTAGCAAACATAGTGCCATCTGGAATGATGAATTAAAACTGTCTATTCAAACACATCTTAAAACAACATAGTCCAACATAGTATCAAATAAATCTGGAACTGAAGGGAAACTCTATTCATACACTGTCTGTCATTTGGCGCGCCATCCAGGCTGACTTGTTTGCGCAACATTTTGAAACAGTATGGAAGTAATTTACTGTGCTGTAGCTTTAGGAAAACAGCTGTAGAGACTTCATGAAATCAGCCATGGCCTGGCTTGAGAACATCTCCTGAGATTGCTCTTGGCTGCTAAGAGAAACCCTTTCGACATGGCCATGGGTGTATCCTCCTTTTAGCCTGAATCTCACTCTACAAATGAAAAATAAGTCACACACTCCTCTCTCCTTGCTGAGACCCACTCTGCCTTATGATGCACTAGCAGCAGCAGCACCCTGTTCAGTCTTTGTATCAGCAAGATATGCGTGTGTGATCAGTCCATGCCAAAGGCCTGATCAGTACATGATACCCATGGGGTCAATTCAGAGCCATCACCTTCTATCCCACTCGGATTTGTATAGGAGTGTTAGAGATTTCTCTGCTCGTATGTTGTTGTTTTGAATTGATTCGTTTCTCAATGTTATAAGTTCTAAGATTCTTTAAGAGGCCTGTCATCTTTTCTCATGGCAGCATAGGTACATGTTATTTTTACTGAGCGAGTGGTGCACTGTTGGTGAACCCTGACCCTTCCAGGATGGTCATCATACCCTGTCAGAAGCTGTTATGGTTAGATGAGATCAGTAGGAGGATCTGGTTACACAGAGTTCAGTTCACTGAGAGACAGAGCCAACCGCTGAGAACACAGAGGTCACCTCACTAGAAACTTTACTCTACTGCCACCAGTGGGCTAAGGCCCCGGCCACACAGAGACAGAAAAAACACATGGAGAATGCACTACGTATCCGTCTATTCATCAAAATGTCAGTTCGGTCATCTCCGTCACCCGTCAACAAATGAGGCAAGCCCCCAATAGACAAACCTTTGGCACAACCTGTTTTTGAAGGATACAACATTTCTATGAAGCTGGGACCTGAGCAATCTATCCATCCCTCAGTTTACATCAGCAGAAGCACCCCACACAGCCTCACATTTAAACCCACAGCCTCAGCTAAGTCCTCTCCCACACCTCTCAGGGGAGATAGAACCACAGAAGAGGGAGGTGGTGGGCATGCAGCCTAAAGTAGATGCACACACACACACACACACACAGAGAATAGCTTATGCAACTTTTATATAATGTTGTGTATGCCATGGTTTTTTAAATGAGGTTCATCCAGTTCACTTTCAAAGGAGGAATATCTATCGATAGACGCTTCAATGCTGAGGGTGGACACGCAATGTTAGGATGCGATGCTACATTCTAACCATCATGTACTAAAATGGAATGTCTGAGTATAGATAAATAAGGAATTATGCCTCCTAGGTAATGATGTACCTTGCAAAAGTGCATCTAATCTCATTGGTGTCCTCATAGCTGAATTCAGACCCATTCCCAAGATACTGTGCACTGTGCACTGTGACCCTCTCTCTCTCTCCTTCTCTCTCTCTCTCTCTCTCTCTCGCTCTCTCTCTCTCTCTCTCTCTCTCTCTCTCTCTCTCTCTCTCTCTCTCTTTTTCTTTCTCCTTCTCTTTCTCTCTCTCTCCATGTCTCTCCCCCTGCAGACACCCTGTCTGTGTCCAGTAACGATGCCATCCAGCCCGGCGCCAGCCACACCCTGGGCTTCCACAGCTCCCCGGGGCCCAAGCGACCGGGCAACACGCTGAGGAAGTGGCTGACCAGCCCCGTGAGGCGCCTGAGCAGCGGCAAGGCCGACGGACACGTCAAGAAGCTGGCCCACAAGCACAAGAAGAACCGTGACGGACGCGGAAAGAACGCAGACTCTGCCGGCTCCCAGAAAGACTCGGACGACAACGCCGCCACGCCACAGGACGAGACCATCGAGGAGGTCCGTTCGATTGGTCACCTTCACGTTTAGTTTACCTCTTCCTCTCTGTCTCTCTATCTTTATCTCTCCTTCTATCTCTCATATATCACTGCCTTTCTTTCTCTTTTTCTTGATCTATTCAACACTAAATCTCTCCCTAATTTCCTTCTCTCCTTTATTTTGAGCCGATTGTGTTCTATTTTGTTGTAAACTCTGTTGTCGTTGTCCCTCTACAGAGGATGAGGAACGAGGGGCTGAGCAGTGGGACTCTGTCCAAGTCCTCCTCCTCTGGGATGCAGAGCTGTGGGGAGGAGGAGGGAGAGGAGGGGGCTGATGCTGTACCCCTGCCTCCCCCCATGGCCATCCAACAACACAGCCTGCTGCAGGCTGACTCTCAGGACGACAAGGTGAGACTCACAGACTTAACAGGCCTCCATGAGGTTTAGTTAGAGTATATCAAAGAGGGGACAATCGTCTTTCCTGTAAAATCTTTTGGAAAATAAAAAGAGACATTGGTAAATCAATGAATGTATTTCTTTTAGACCAGTTTGTCTGAAAAGGTAGATATTTTATACCGATGCAGTTTAGCTTCATTCACTCATCATCACATACCAGTTATGGTAACTAGAGCGATAGGCATTTCTTTGACACTAATATAATTGTTTTCTCTTCTTTTCTTAACTTTGTTTTTAACTTTACCAGCATTATGTTGATTTTTGTTCTGCCTCTGTTTTGTCTCAGTTCCCGTACCTTTCCATGTAACTGCCTACGCTCTAGTCACACTCCCCCAATTTAGTTCCCAGCCGTCCATCCTCAGTCATGCTATCTCCTCACCCTCGCTGCCCTATGTTTTTCTATGACTATTGTTGCAGATGTGACGAATACTCCATTTGCTGTAGTTAGTGAAGTTTGACTAGAACTGACTGACTACCCCTTTAAAGACCTGGCCTTGTTTAGTTTAGCCTGTTGCTATCGTTTTTGCCGGACTAGCTGTGCTTGTGACTGGCCTGTTTCCCGGGTTACCCCTGTTGTAATGGAGTATTTAACAGCACATGTACATTGTTCAGTCATGTGCTCCACTGTGGTGCAAGTGCTCAGAACCTCGCTCCAACCAACCCCAACCCCTGCCTCGTCCCCTGTATCCTCCATGCTAGCCTGGCCCCCACTAGGCCCCTATTTGGCCCTGATTAGGGAGACCACACCCATTCCTTATGGCGACATTTGGAATGTCGGGCGGGGTCAAAACACGTCAATGGTGAGCTTCTCTAAGAAATGAATGTATGATGCGGTGATGTCATCATGTACTGTAATATGTGTAATATGTAGAAAACTATTGAATACAGTGACAAATACTTTCCAGAGCATATTAATCAAATGTAGAGTGTAAACATTAAACCACATCCACCCCCCCCCCCCCTCTCTCTCTCTCTCTCTCTCTCTCTCTCTCTCTCTCTCTCTCTCTCTCTCTCTCTCTCTCTGTCTGTCTCTCTGTGTCTGTCTGTCTGTCTCTCTCCCTCCCAGGCGGCCTCTCGTCTATCGGGCCGACCCAGTAGTTCAGAGACACCCAGTGCGGCTGAGCTGGTCAGTGCCATCGAGGAGCTGGTCAAGAGTAAGATGGTAAGTCCCAGCCATCCATCTGTCTACCACAGTGCTGTCAGTTACGCACGCACACACACACACACTGCCAGCTCAGCTCAGGCCAGTCTGGTGCCAGGGTGGATGTGACGTGTAATGGTGCCATGGCCATGGCCCACCAGTCATCTGTGAACCATTTGAGTCACCACACCAACTGACTGCTTCTCTACATAAGACCTGGCACAACACTTTAATGCTCCCATTACTTTGTCACACCATCATAGCAGCAACACCACTGCTCTCTCTGCTAGCACAGTGATTGAATGGAGCTCAGCTTACTCACTGCATTTGCACAATGAATATACACTAAGTGCTCTCTCTCTCTCTCTCTTTCTTTCTCTCTCTCTCTCAGTCCCTGGAGGACCGTCCCAGCTCTCTCTCTGTGGAACAAGGGGACAGCAGCAGCCCCTCCCTCAATCCCTCCGACAACTCCCTCCTGTCCTCCTCGTCCCCCATCGATGAGATGGAAGAGCGCAAGTCGGGTTTCCTCAAGAGACGCCAGTGAGTTCAGTTTCACTCCGCAACATCTCATACATAGAAATAGAAAGACTAGAAGGGTTGCCCTCCTTCAAGCTAATGAGGCCGTAATGGGTGGACCGGTGATTGGCCCTTTCTAGTCATTCTATTTCTATGGTCTCATAGCCTAGAATATGCCCTGAGCCATCAGATAAAACTGTCCTGTGGTGGTCTAGCTAATGCAATCCTCTCACTGTTTACTTCACCTCTCTCCCCTACAGTTATGTGTTACTGGAGCTGGTGGAGACAGAGAGGGACTATGTGAGAGACCTGGGTTCAGTGGTGGAGGTGAGAACACAATCTTTCTTACTTTAGGCCCATAAGCAATGACTCACTCCTCTCCATCACACTCTGTTCACGTTCTAGACTTGGTCAAAGTGCTACTGTAGGTCCCGTCCACAAAACAATTCCTAATCCTTACTCTCCATATGAATCTAGGCTCTCCATATGAATCTAAATTAACTGAATAGGTATAAGAAAAATTGAACAGCTCCACCTTGCCCTCTGAACATAGTGCGTATAACTATCAAATCCTAGCAGATCACCACAAGTGGCCTAAGGGGTTGTTTGTGGACAGGGCTATGGAATAGTATTGGCTGTCCTGTGGTCACCTGAAAGTCTTATCTCCCCTTCAGGGCTACATCAGCAAAATGAAGGAGGACGGCGTGCCAGACGACATGAGGGGAAAAGACAAGATAGTGTTTGGGAATATCCACCAGATCTACGACTGGCACCGAGAGTAAGACGAGAATAGTACCTACCTACAGGACTAGCGTTATTATTAGTTTGACTTTTATATTAGTATACAGTGGGGGAAAAAAGTATTTAGTCAGCCACCAATTGTGCAAGTTCTCCCACTTAAAAATATGAGAGAGGCCTGTAATTTCCATCATAGGTACACGTCAACTATGACAGACAAATTGAGATTTTTTTTTCCAGAAAATCACATTGTAGGATTTTTAATGAATTTATTTGCAAATTATGGTGGAAAATAAGTATTTGGTCATCTACAAACTAGCAAGATTTCTGGCTCTCACAGACCTGTAACTTCTTCTTTAAGAGGCTCCTCTGTCCTCCACTCGTTACCTGTATTAATGGCACCTGTTTGAACTTGTGAGGCCCGTCTGAAGTTTGCTAGAGTGCATTTGGATGATCCAGAAGAGGATTGGGAGAATGTCATATGGTCAGATGAAACCAAAATATAACTTTTTGGTAAAAACTCAACTTGTCGTGTTTGGAGGACAAAGAATGCTGAGTAGCATCCAAAGAACACCATACCTACTGTGAAGCATGGGGGTGGAAACATCATGCTTTGGGGCTGTTTTTCTGCAAAGGGACCAGGACGACTGATCCGTGTAAAGGAAAGAATGAATGGGGCCATGTATCGTGAGATTTTGAGTGAAAACCTCCTTCCATCAGCAAGGGCATTGAAGATGAAACGTGGCTGGGTCTTTCAGCATGACAATGATCCCAAACACACCGCCCGGGAAACGAAGGAGTGGCTTCGTAAGAAGCATTTCAAGGTCCTGCAGTGGCCTAGCCAGTCTCCAGATCTCAACCCCATAGAAAATCTTTGGAGGGAGTTGAAAGTCTGTGTTGCCCAGCGACAGCCCCAAAACATCACTGCTCTAGAGGAGATCTGCATGGAGGAATGGGCCAAAATACCAGCAACAGTGTGTGAAAACCTTGTGAAGACTTACAGAAAACGTTTGACCTGTGTCATTGCCAACAAAGGGTATATAACAAAGTATTGAGAAACTTTTGTTATTGACCAAATACTTATTTTCCACCATAATTTGCAAATAAATTCATTAAAAATCCTACAATGTGATTTTCTGGATTTTTTTTTCTCATTTTGTCTGTCATAGTTGACGTGTACCTATGATGAAAATTACAGGCCTCTCTCATCTTTTTAAGTGGGAGAACTTGCACAATTGGTGGCTAACTAAATGTAAAATATCCCACAGCATTGATTTCTTTCACTGTTCTCACAATACTCTTCTCTGATTGGCCACAGCTTCTTCCTGGGAGAGCTAGAGAAGTGTCTGGAGGATCCTGATAGGCTGGCTCCCCTGTTCGTCAAACAAGTAAGAGAGATTTGATGATTTTCATTGGCCAAAATATACTATCAGTAGTGGATGTCACTGTGCTGTGCATCATAACAAGGTTAGTGCTATCCGAGATCCTTGGGACGTCCCTACCCTAAACCCTAACCTTAACCCCTAACCTTAACCCCTAAACTTAACCTTAACCTTAACCCTTACCTTAACCATTTTAAATTTAAATTGAATGGGGTAGGGACGTCCCAAGGATCCCAGATAGCAAGGACCATAATACAATTTCCTCACCATTTCCCTTGTTTTGTTTCCTTGTTTTCCTGCTAGGAGCGACGGTTACACATGTACATCGTGTACTGTCAGAACAAGCCCAAATCAGAGCACATCGTGTCTGAGTACATAGACACTTACTTTGAGGTAAGAATACACACACTCACTCCACCCCACACATATCCCACAAGTGGGTTTATTCCAGTCTCTCGAACGGAGCACATACCGCATCATAAGAGCCTCATTGTTTCCTGTCCTCATACCTTGTGTTATATTTTTACGCAGTCTGTTTTTTTACTGTGTACAAATAAACCTAATGTGCTCCCTGTGGATTTTAGGAGCTCAAGCAGCATCTGGGCCACAGACTCCAGATCACTGATCTTCTCATTAAGCCTGTGCAGCGCATCATGAAGTACCAGCTCCTACTGAAGGATTTACTTAAGTTCTCCAAAAAGGCTGCAGTAGATACTACTGAGCTGGAAGTAAGAACTACAATCTGGGTTTGATTTGATGACCTTCCACCTCTAATAGCATGGACTAGCATTAATATTGCTATGATTTTGTTTTTATCTCAAAGTTATACTTGTTAAAAAGCTGCTATTATGTTTTCTTTCCCTCTAAAATTGTGTTTTCTTTCTTCTCTGTTCCCCCCAGAAAGCGGTGGAGGTCATGTGTGTTGTGCCTAAAAGATGCAACGACATGATGAACGTTGGGCGTCTCCAAGGCTTTGACGTAAGACTCTCGTGCTGTCTTCTTCAGGGAATAGAGAATGTAGTCTTTCAGTCCTATCTGGCTCAGTATAGAAGGTCATAGCTTACTTGAATTTGATTTCAGCCGTTAAGCCACATGGATCAAATGATAAATGGGAGAAGGGCTTGGGTTTGCTCTCTCTCCCCTTTTTCACTCATTGTATAATATGATAATAGCATGCTTATAAGATTTATATTTCAACTGAGTGGCTAAGAATGAGTCTGAGCTGAGGCTGTCCTCTGTCCTCCATCCTTTTATTTGTATGTATTTTATTTAAAGGCCCAGTACTGTCAAAATTCTGTTTTCCCTGTGTTTTATATCAAACTGACACTGTAAAAGTGTGACAAAATTTGATCAGTGTTATTTCCTGATAGTTGCTGATTGAAAATACAATCTACACAGGACCTTCTAATCAGCAGGTTTGCATGTGTGGGAGTTTTGGCTTTCCGTGGTGACATCACCATGCGTAAATTGGTTAATAGACCAATAACAAGGAGAGTTCCAAACCTCTCTGCCAATAACAGCTGGTTTTCAGTTCACCCCTCCCCACTTAGGTCACTCCCAGACAGTCCTAGCAAAATTCTTGTTTGAGAAATAGTGTTTTGCTATTAGCTACTTTTGCCCATTTTAATGGAAATCTATTACAGTAACGTACCTACTTGTTACCCAGAAATTATTTGATATTGATATAAAACGGCTGCATTGGTCCTTAAACCTTTATTTAACCAGACAGGCAATACATTGTTATTCTCCCATGCAGGGTAAGATTGTGGCCCAAGGCAGACTGCTGCTCCAGGACACCTTCATGGTATCAGATCAGGACGGGGGGCTACTCACCAGGATGAAGGAGAGGAGGGTCTTCCTCTTCGAACAGATCGTCATCTTCAGCGAGCCCCTGGACAAGAAGAAAGGCTACTCCCAGCCGGGATACCTCTTCAAGAACAGCGTCAAGGTATGGAGCTTAGATCGCGATCATCTTCCCTAATCAATCACACATCATATTGCAGTGTGTGCATTTTTTTGGGCTGGACATTGCTAGGATAGTAATTGCTCTAAGGGCCAAAGTCATTTGAATAGTTGTCTGATTCTGAAAACACTCACATCCCCTCCTCTCTCCTGTATCTTGTGTGTGTGTGTGTCCAGGTGAGCTGGCTGGGCCTGGAGGAGAGCACAGACGACCCCTGTAAGTTCACCCTGACCTCCCGGTCGTCCAGTGGCGGTGTGGAGACCTACGTGATGCACTCAGCCAACCCTGGAGTCAGCCAGATGTGGGTCCACCAGATCACCCAGATCCTGGAGAGCCAACGCAACTTTCTCAACGGTAAAAGAAGACACATCACAGATCATCTGTCTAACTGTGTAGTGATATTATGCTAGCTTCTCCCAGGTGGCAGCATAATCATATCATATGATTACCCCATGTTTCATCTGTCTCCCTGTGTAGTCATCCACTCCATAGAATTGGTCAACTTTCTGAGAAAATAAGTGTTTACAACACACCATAATATGAACTATAGCATGATGTACTGGAATGCAAAATGCAAAGAATGTTTTTAAATTTGTTTCATAGCTAGACAGTGTGTACTCATACCACTGAGTTGACGCTTTCTCTCCGTCTCTCTCTCTCTCTCAATTCAATTTCAATTCAATTTAATTTCAATTCAATTCAATTTAAGGGCTTTATTGTCATGGGAAACGTGTGTTAACATTGCCAAAGCAAGGGAAGTAGATAGTAAACAAAAGTGAAATAAACAATAAATATTAACAGTAAACATTACACTCAGAAGTTTCAAAAGAATAAAGACATTTCAAATGTCATATTATGTATATATACAGTGTTGTAACAATGTGCAAATAGTTAAAGTACAAATGGGAAAATAAATAAACATAAATATGGGTTGTATTTACAATGGTGTTTGTTCTTCACTGGTTGCCCTTTTCTTGTGGCAACAGGTCACAAATCTTGCAGCTGTGATGGCACACTGTGGTTTTTCACCCAGTAGATAAGGGAGTTTATCAAAATTGGGTTTGTTTTCAAATTCTTTGTGGATCGCTGTAATCTGAGGGAAATATGTGTCTCTAATATGGTCATACATTTGGCAGGAGGTTGGGAAGTGCAGCTCAGTTTCCACCTCGTTTTGTGGGCAGTGTGCACATAGCCTGTCTTCTCTTGAGAGCCAGGTCTGCCTACGGCGGCCTTTCTCAATAGCAAGGCTATTGTACATAGTCAAAGCTTTCCTTAAGTTTGGGTCAGTCACAGTGGTCAGGTATTCTGCCACTGTGTACTCTCTGTTTAGGGCCAAATAGCATTCTAGTTTGCTCTGTTTTTTTGTTTGTTCTTTCCAATGTGTCAAGTAATTCTCTTTTTGTTTTCTCATGATTTGGTTGGGTCTAATTGTGTTGTTGTTGTTGTCCTGGGGCTGTGTGGGGTCTCTCTCTCTCTCTCTCTCTCTCTCTCTCTCTCTCTCTCTCTCTCTCTCTCTCTCTCTCTCTCTCTCTCTCTCTCTCTCTTTGTGTCCCCCAGCACTGACATCCCCTATCGAGTACCAGAGGAACCACGTGGGGGCCAGTGGACCAGGCCTGGGGGCCCCCAGCAGCAGCAGTGGCCTGGCAGGAGGCGGCTGCAGCAGCTCCGCAGTAGGCCCTGGAAGTAACTCTCTGTGTGGCCCCCAGAGTCGCCGGCCATCGCGCATCCCCCAGCCCTCCTCCCGCATCCCACAGCCTGTCCACCACCACCACCCCCCGGGCCCTGACGGCCCGGAAAGGACAGCAGGTACGTGGTCCCGACAGCCCCTTTCCTCCTCCCCCTCCCCCCAGCCCCCCTGCCCTCCTGACCCTGCAGAGGGGGACCTGGGGCCCCAAGATGTCCCCAAGATGCGAGTGCTGGAGGGTCCCCGGCCCCGCAGCAGAACCAGCAGCAACAGCAATGGCAAGTCCTTGGGCTTTGCTGAGGGCAGCTTCAAGGAGAGCTATCCTGGGGAGGACCCTCCTCAGACCCCCATCCCACGGCTGGCTGTGGCCCCTCTGAATCTGGCCAAGCCTCGGGTAGGGACGGTCTCTCCATTGACCTCCCCCATAAAGGAGGGATTCATCCCAGGCAGCCCAGCCCAGAAAGTCTCCTTTTACTGGGCCACTGCGGTCCCAGCCTCCCCAGCTAGCCGGCCTTTCTCCTTCTCCTACCCCAGTGATAGTGGAGACTCGACCCTGGGCCACAGGGAGAGCCACAAACACCGCCACTCCACCCACAGCAAGGACATAGACCGCATGAGCACATGCTCCTCCACCAGTGAGCAGTCCATACAGTCTACCCAGAGCAACGGGGTAAGAGCCCTACTTGAGTCCCAGGCTTCTGTCCGGCTTATTCCCTACTAACACCTTACTGGCTTGTCCTGGGTCATCTGAACCACAAGTGCGTACTAAACTATCTAAGTCCACTAACTTGCCTTTGGTGTGAGTTTTCATCCTTCCTGCTCTCTTTCAAACTCTACTAACAGTGTTTTTGGCTGGTACAGCAGCTATCTGCTACAGTAACTCTTCTTGCTGTACTGTATGTTGGAGTCCTCTCCTCTCCCTTGGTGTTTCCAGTATGACTCTCTGCCTCTGCTTGCCTAACTTCACACACCCACCTCTGTCTTGGCTCTAGTTTTTGCTGTCCCTTTGCTTCAGGCTATTTTGGTCTGAACTTAAAAAACATAAACGCATTTACTGGGTTAAATGCAAATGAATGCTGATATAATGGAAGATTGATCTTTGACTTCGACTTCACCTGCCTGCAAGAAGAGGAGCTCTGATATAAAAAGAAAGGCTTGCCGTCTCTCCTGTTTTCTCTTAGCTCTTGCTCTGATCATGCTGCTTCTTCTCTGTCTTGGTGCTGTGGGCCTGATGACACATCCGTGTTCTCCTTCTCTACTTGCCTTGCCCCTGAATACATTTGACTCACACCAAATGCATTTCGCCTCACTTCAAGCTTTATTCAGGCTCAGTCTCTCCTGAAATGGACTGTTTCTTCTCTACGCTCACTGTCTTTGAGAGACACCCACTCCATGTTAACTCTACTCTGTCTCTCTGACTTCTGGATACCTTGTCTTCGCTTCTATTTGTTGGCTACAAATCAGAAGGTGTATTTATGTTACATGTAGTAACCAGATTTTAGTAGCTACAGTATGACTTTCCTCACTCTTCTTTCTGAACCTTTTGTAACGAATGCTTGGAAATCAAATCAAATCAAATTTGATTGGTCACATACACATATTTAGCAGATGTTATTGCGGGTGTGGCGAATTACTCCTTCTTTGCGCATGAGCTCTAGCATATAAACAGATTAACAACAAATGCTGCTCATGTGCAATCAAATCAAAAACATTTTAATTTGTTTTGTCTTTTAGAGTCATTTTCACAGAATGCTTTGTGTGTGTGTGTGCTCGTGCATTTGTCTGTCTGTCTGTCCGTCTCTCTCTCTCTCTTTCTCTCTATGCCTCTCTCTTTGTGTAACCCTACCTATAAACCCTTACTGACTCCATTTCCTCCCCTGCCTCCCCCTCCTCCCCCATCTTGCCCCCTGGCTCCCCCTGACTCCCCCTCCTCCCCCATTTTGCCCCCTGGCTCCCCTTGCCCCCCCTCCTCCACTGCCCCCTCCCACCCTGCCTCCCCCTCCTCCCCCCTCCTCCAGAGTGAAAGCAGTAGCAGCAGCAGCATCAGCACCATGCTGGTGACCCAGGACTACGTGGCCCTGAAGGAGGATGAGATCAGTGTTTCCCAGGGCGAGGTGGTCCAGATGCTGGCCTCCAATCAGCAGAACATGTTCCTGGTGTTCCGGGCCGCCACCGAGCAGGGCCCTGCCGCCGAGGGCTGGATCCCCGGCTACGTTCTGGGTCACACCTCCACCATCATCCCCGACCTCCCCGAAGGAACCATCAAGTAAGATACAGACACTGCTGCTACTCCATGTACCAACCTGAATGAATGAAAAGCTTTATCTTCCCAAAGATAATTACATTTTCACATCATGAGCTCTGCCATCATAAAAGTGAAACAGTAGACACAGATGTAGAAATCATAAGCTAATCTTTTCTCTTCCTTTCCTCTTTCTGTCTGTTTCTCTTGTCTGGAGCAGGAAGTCATCCTCGTGGCACACAGCTCTCCGCATCAGGAAAAAGTCTGAGAAGAGAGACAAGGAGACCAGGAAGGAAAATAAGATGGAAAACGGCTACCGCAAGTCTCAAGACTGTCTGACTAATAAAGTTTCTGTAAAGGTAGAGTTTATTTGATAATCACCTGTATGGCTGTAAGACTTAAAGCCCCATTTAATGGATTCATGTTGTAATTATTTAATGTCTGTGTGGTCAAGCTAATTTGGAGAATAAACTTATTTGTGTTCATATTTTTCTTTCAGCTTCTAAATCCCAACTACATCTACGATGGTATGTATACATTTAAATGCTTTTGCATGGGCTTTACTATACATTAAATGAATGACATCTATATTTTCACAAAGCAGTGGTTCAGTAAGGCAAGTTTGTATTGTCTTGTATTGTACTGCGTACTTTCTATTGTCTATTGGTAGCTCAGATTGGGATTGTGTAGTTTGCATTTAAGTATCCTCCTCCCAGCCAGAACAGTGCATAGTGCAGGAGCCTATCTCCTGTTTCTGTAGCGTGAGGCAGCTTGAAAAAATAAAGTACAACCCCTGGACAGGACGCTAGTATATCGCAAGGCTAGTTTGCATGTGACATAGTCAAACTCACGTGTCCTCTTGTCTGTCTGTCTGTCACCTCTGTAGTATCCCCAGAGTTCCTGCTGCCCCTGAGTGATGTGACCTGTGACCTGGGGGAGAGTGTCACTCTGAGGAGTAAGGTCTGTGGAAGACCCAAAGCCTCGGTCACCTGGAGAGGACCTGACCACAGCACTTTGAGCAACAACGGACACTACAGCATCACCTACAGGTACACATCTGCAGTGATGACATTTTACATTACATTTTGGTCATTCAGCTGATACTCTTCTCCAGAGTGATCATTGCAATGCGTTAGAATGACTTAGCTGTTGGAAGACAACGTTCTGTTGTAGTTGTATTCAAGTCAATGTTGCTATTATTGAAACTTACCTTGTGACTTCCCTTCTCTCTCTGCAGTGACACGGGCGAGGCAACTCTCCGGATCATGGGTGTGTCTGTGGAGGATGACGGGGTGTACACCTGTGTTGCCACCAATGTAGTGGGCAGCGTGTCATCCTCTGCCAGCCTCAGAGTCTCAGGTTAGTCACTGTTGAGTTAAATTAAGTTGAGTTGAGTTGTAGACTCCTGTGGGGGTACAGTATATCCTCTATATTCACACTACTTACACACAGAATATGAATTCTTCAGTACTTTTGCATTTTAACATGAAATGTTTCTATTTTCCCAGAGGCCTCCGACGATGGGAGTGAAGTGATCTGGAAGAACAACTTTGAGTCCTTCTACACAGAGATCACAGAACTGGGCAGGGGAAGGTTCTCAGTGGCTAAGCGCTGTGACCAGCGTGGGAGCAAGCGTGCCGTAGCAGCCAAACATGTCAACAAGCGGTTGATGCGGCGTGAGCAGGTGCTCCAGGAACTGAGCATACTACAGTGTCTGGAACACCCCCACCTGGTCGGCCTGCTGGACACCTTCGAGACAGCCACCAGCTACGTGCTAGTGCTGGAGATGTACGTTAGTAAAAACCGTGGATGCGTCCCAAATGGCACCCTATTCCTTATATAGTGCACTACTTTTAACTGATCAAAAGTAGTACACTACAGAGGGAATAGGTACCATTTGGGACGCATACACTGTATGCATTATGATTATTGAGTAAAATTTGAATTAGAATTCCTGAATTGAAATAGAATAGCCCTCGTGTACATCTACCAAATCGGTGGGCTAAGGTTGTCTCTCTCTGGTGCTTTGTGTCTGCAGGGCCGATCAAGGTCGTCTCCTGGACTACATAGTCAGCTGGGGTAACCTCACTGAAGAGAAGGTGGCCTTGTACCTTAGGGACATTCTAGAAGCTTTACACTACCTGCATAGCTGGAGGATAGCTCACTTGGACTTGAAGGTGAGTCACAGAGACTGTGACATGTAGGAGTTCAATTTGATTTTGTACTGTATGAAACAGTATGATGTCTAACTGATTGTTCTTAAGCAAAGCTAATACTCCCATCATGGGTCAATTCTTAATCATATCTTTCTTTGCGTGTATCTGCGTGTGTATCTGGGTGGGTATCGGTGTGTATCCCTTTAGCCTGAGAACGTGTTAGTGGAGCAGACCTCTGCCCAGCCTGTGGTCAAGCTGACAGACTTCGGGGACGCCGTCCAGCTGAACAGCGGCCACTACATCCACCCTCTACTGGGCAGCCCAGAATTCTCAGCCCCGGAGCTGGTCCTGGGCCAGCCTGTCTCCCTGACCTCTGACCTCTGGAGCCTGGGGGTTGTGACATATGTGGTGCTGAGCGGGGCATCTCCCTTCCTGGACGAGAGCGCTGAGGAGACATGCCTGAACATCTGTCGTCTGGACTTCAGCTTCCCCCATGACTACTTCCAGGGTGTGAGCCAGGCGGCCAGGGACTTTGTGTGTCTCCTCCTACAGGGCGAGCCGGACCGGAGACCTTCGGCCACCGCATGCCTTCAGGAGCCCTGGCTGCAGCCATGGGACTCCCACCACCACCAAAACCAACACCCAGGATGCATCGACACTTCCAGACTCATCTCCTTCATCGAGCGGCGGAAACACCAGAACGACGTCAGGCCCATGGGCAGCATCAAGACCTTCCTTCACAGCAGACTCCTCAACCAGATATGAGCAGGTTATAGGACTACAGTACCCAGAAACCACCGAGTCACATTGATGATCTCATCCTCTCTCAGCCAACTACGCCACTTCCTTAGAACTATGTTACCCAGCATCCTGCTGCTGCTGACTGCTGACTGCTTTTAATATTTTTGACTGACATTTTTCCCCCAAGAGATTTAGATACTTCCCTTCCACCCTCACCTTTGTATGGATGATGGCTATATGCCTGCACAAGAAGATGAACTATTTGAAAGTATTTCAAATTTGACTAACAGGGAAAACAAAGCTTTCTCGAGAGCCAGTGAGAACAAGCCTTGTGTTTGGATAGTATTACAAACCGATACTGTAATATCGGGTTGCTTTTGGTTGAATATAAGAAAACGTTTTTTGTAATGAGAGATTACTTTTTGTAAAGAAAATGTATAGTGAAGAAACAAAGAAATGTCTTTATTCATATACCTTTTCAAAGGTTATTAAAAAGAATGAAAACAAAAATGAATGGGACATATGAACAAAGCACCACCGACCCACCACAGGGTTGTTGCTTTAGAACACTACTTCTAGAACCAGTTAGAGACCTAACTCGTTGTAGTTGATTAACATACAATAAATCAACAGATGCTTTGTACTGGCCTTGCTTATTGTATGGACCTTTAACAGTTAGTACAATTATGCTATTTTAGTCAGACCTCAGCAGAGAAACAAATAAACAAGCAAGCAAACAAACAACTAAAAGCTATAACACTATTGGAAAAGCTCTTAGATTTCTGATACATCCGCCTTACTCTGTAAATAATGTGTTCCTGCCTTCATTCTCTGTTTTGTTAGCTGAGTAGAAAGTCCTGCCAATGGAAGAGAGGTGTGAGGGAGACTAGCTCCTCCTCATGCCAATCAAATGACTTAAACCCTCACTACCAGAAATACTTCTATAAATGCACTCGTATTTTGCATTAATTTCTCATGTGCAATGTTGCAGCTTTAACATGTATGCAACTATTTATGAAGACTTGTGTTGTATCCGTAATCTAAAAAGGCATGTACGTACCTGGTACTGCAGTAGATGTATGTATTGTGTTACTCTTTTCCGTATTAAGTTCAGTATTAATATCTTGGAAACCTAAAATGCAGGTTTCGCAAATAATGTAAAATAAGAAAAATGATGTGTATCTATATTGGCACTTATTCTTTCAGTTTGTCATTGTTTTTGTTTTATTTTCTGTAACTATACCAAAGTTAACTGTACTTTACCCTCTTTAAATGTGTTATATAATGTACCATGTTAAGTTATGAAAACCATGCTGAACCTAGAGATAGATGTTTACATTGGTTCACAGTGGCTTTATTTATTAGCGTTGTAAGAACGTTGTTTAGTGGTTGGTTGTTAGTGCATACCTAATTAACATTTCAAACACTTCTCCTCTCAAGCTGTGCACAAAGTGGTGATTGATGTGTAAGTTTGTTTGACTTTTTAAGTTATGTATTTTGCTAGACATTTGTGTTGCAATGATCAACATCTTGGTTTAACTTAAGATAAACTTGGGATAGCATTCTTTGCCGAGCCTTTGGTTTGAACAAAAAAAAAACTGTCCACAACATTGTACCAACGTTACAATAATTGTGCATGGATGTTGCGGCACTATTACCCTACCCTTTATCTGAGTGACCATAACCTAGCCGTTTTCAGTCAATTAATCATTGTATGAGTTCATACTGATTTTAAAGTGCCAGTCAATTGGTCTGGAGAGGCGGACGAAACAGCTGTAGTTCCTTTTAAGCTTGACAAGGTTATCAAAGTTTCATGTCTATGTCAAGGCAGTAGTCACAGTGATACAATGAATGTGTTTGTTAACCTGTACAGTCCCATTTTGTGTCCTCTTATTTATTCATGTGTAAAGCTGTACAGACATGGACGACGAACATGGGAACCTGGATGTAACCTCATCATATTTTATACATACTATGTCATTTTGAATGTTAAATGACTTATTTTTACTTTTGCATGTATATTTCTTTGTACAGAAATTGTGTTTACACATTTACGTGCTGTAAATATTTTATTTAGTCCTCAGTTATTTTGCCATTAAACGTATGGAACATACCCTTGGAAGTTTTTTTCATATTTATGTACAGTGCCTTCAGAAAGTATTCATAGCCCATGACTTATTCTACATTTTGTTGTGTTACAGCCTGAATTCAAAATGGATTAAATATATTTTTTTCTCTCACCCATCTACACACAATACCCCATAATTACAAAGTGAAAACATGTTTTTAGAATTTTTTGCATATGTATTGAAACTTAAATACATACATATCTAATTTACATAAGTATTCACACTCTTGAGTCAATACATGTTAGAATCACATTTGGCAGCGATTACAGCTGTTAGTCTTTCTGGGTAAGTCACTAAGAGCTTTGCACACATGGATTGTACAATATTTGCCCATTATTCTTTAAAAAATTATTCAAGCTCTGTCAAGTTGGTTGTTGATCATTGCTAGACAGCCATTTTCAAGTCTTGCCATAGATTTTCAAGCCGATTTAAGTCAAACTGTAACTAGGCCACTCAGGAAGATTCAATGTCATCTTGGTAAGCAACTCCAGTGTACAGTGGGGGAAAAAAGTATTTAGTCAGCCACCAATTGTGTAAGTTCTCCCACTTAAAAAGATGAGAGAGGCCTGTAATTTTCATCATAGGTAAATAGACTAAATACTTTTTTTTTTTTAACAATGTCTGGACATTGATGATGCTTTTCAGAGGTTTAATTAAGCCAGCTAGCTACCTACCATTCAGCCGTTTTTCTAACCTCATTATCTGAGCCATCAACGCTAGGTAGTTAGTAGCTACTGTACTTAATTACACCTACTGATTGCAGAAGACAAATGTCAGCTGGCGTCGGGTAAGTTTGGCTTTATACATAGCTTGGGCTTTGTCGAGTAAGGCTTAATTATGTATTTAGATTGTAGTTAGGTATTGTAGGTAGGCCCGCAGCACGAAGCTAGCTAGCTAGCCGTTTTTCAAACAAAGTCAACACAGTAGCCATTGCTAGCTAGCCAACACGACCAGCTAACTGTACTGTAGTAGCTAAATACAATATATTTGTGCTAGCTAGCCAACGTTAAATTTTTGCTGCGTTATGAAAGGAACTAGACACGGACACGAATTATCTGTTTAGTGTGTTAACACACTATTGGTAGTTTGTTGTAACCAAGTATTGGTGCTAAACTGTGTGTTATTGGATGCTAGCATGCTAGTTAGCTATGGCGTCATAGTTAGGCATCGTGGGCTGTTGTGGGTAGTTATTGTAGGTTAGCATTGTTTTCGGCGGTGCCGGGTGTAGCACGAAGCTAGCTAGCTAGCCGTTTTTCAAACAAAGTCAACACAGTAGCCATTGCTAGCTAGCCAACACGACCAGCTAACTGTACTGTAGCAGCTAAATACAATATACTTGTGCTAGCTAGCCAACGTTTAATTATTGCTGCGTTATGAAAGGAACTAGACACGGACACGAATTATCTGTTTAGTGTGTTAACACACTATTGGTAGTTTGTTGTAACCAAGTATTGGTGCTAAACTGTTTGTTATTGGATGCTAGCATGCTAGTTAGCTATGGTGTCATAGTTAGGCATCGTGGGCTGTTGTGGGTAGTTATTGTAGGTTAGCATTGTTTTCGGCGGTGCCGGGTGTAGCACGAAGCTAGCTAGCTAGCCGTTTTTCAAACAAAGTCAACACAGTAGCCACTGCTAGCTAGCCAACACGACCAGCTAACTGTACTGTAGCAGCTAAATACAATATATTTGTGCTAGCTAGCCAACGTTTAATTATTGCTGCGTTATGAAAGGAACAAGACACGGACACGAATCATCTGTTTAGTGTGTTAACACACTATTGGTAGCTTGTTGTAACCAAGTATTGGTGCTAAACTGTGTGTTATTGGATGCTAGCATGCTAGTTAGCTATGGTGTCATAGTTAGCTAGCTGAATAAAGTAAGTTGAGTCTATTCCTTGAAACATTGAACCGCTGTAGTTCACAACAATTCTAATTTCTAAAAGTGGAAGTTGGGAGAGTTTTTGTTCGGGGGTGGTTCAGTGAAACAATTATAGTTTCTGAGGTGGAAGTTTTTGGTGAGGGAGGCCCTACTCTCTCCTTTGCCAGATGTTTAGTTAATTTCATTCCGATCTCCTCTGCATTATAAGGGTAACTCTAGGGGTGTCTGTGGGAAAGAAGGATCGTAGTGATGGAAGAGTCGTGTAAAGGATAATAGAGAGTTCGGGAAAGTGGGGGGCGAATTTAAGCACGAATTACCAAACACTTACCTCCTGTCATAAGGTAGAAGTGAAGGAAGCATAGAAGGTACAGATGAAGCAAGTGGTTCACACACAATCACTCCATATATCCACCACATCGACCCTGCTCAGACCCCCAACAAAACAAACTGACAAAGGTTACAACACATAAGAACAAAAAACCCAACCTACAAGACAACCAACAACACAGAAACACTCCTCATCAAATGACATCGAACACAAAAACAGGTCAGTAGTAGTGCGAAAGTATGGGTAAAAGTGGTAAAATAGACCCGCCAAACCGGAGGACCCGACGATCACCACTCTAAAACCTAGCGAGAGGGAGATAGGTTCCCCCGCCGCGTTAGGCACAAAAATCGCGGCGAATGGGCCAGTTAGGAAATAGGGGACGCGAGAGATAAGAGCCTATGGTGGGGTTCGAGTGACGTGGGGTGGGTGTGCAGGGGGGGGTGTAAAGGTGGGTAAATAGGCTTGAATTGGCCAGGCGTGAGAGGTGGGTCGGATAAGGAGTACAGGGAAGAGTCCCATCACAAGAGGGTGGGGCACGATATGCGGGTCACTGGTGAGAGCCTCGGTGTGATTTGACCGATAGAAACGAAGGGGAGTGTGTACAGGACGCTCCAGAAGTTGTAGGCCAGGCCTCAACGAAGTGCTAGAATTGTGAGGGGGTGATGAAGGAACGGGAGTGAAGGTGGCCGC